AAGATGAGTTGTTTATGTTCCGAGTACCATTTGACAGCTTGCTACAGTAGGTCAGGTCAACTTGTGGTCAAACTGAGACCGCTATTGCGTTGCAGCTAAAAATTGCTCGGTGAATACGGGTTTGAGTACGGTATTTGGCGATCGAGACCAGATTCAATTGGAGTTTTCAAAACCGGTATTTGAATTCAGGTTTTTTTTTATGGGACCCATTTCCACTGACAAGAAAATACGGATCTTTGACAATACTGGTCTTGAAACCAGAAATCTATTCTCAGCTGAAACAGGCCTGTAGAAAATAGGACATGTTATATTCCTTTCCCATCACTTCGGACACCCAAGGGGACCATAGGTTAAAGCAAAGTTCACAGTAAAATCAGACTTAAAACACAAACCAGGTAAGCCCCATTAATCATTTTTGCACTTGATGAATATTTGAAGTCAAAAACTGAGTGTGATCCCTATCTCTTCAATCACAATTAATAACCACAATGATTCAAGCCCCACAAAAACTCGTACCTTCACTTCTTGGACATTGAACTTTAAGATGTGTAAATGATAATGATTTGACAGTGGTAGCAGTATGTCCTGATCCAAAAGATATCATAATGAACCCCTATTAACCCATTTACAACCAATTTTTTTTTAAGATTTCCAGGTGAGAAAGTACCAAGTCACAAATATATTTGTATCTTTTTTACCTTAACAGCAATATAATAATGTTAAATACCAATAGTAGAAAGCTTATAAAATTTTCTTTTCAAATATGTCATTTGTTTTGTGTTACGCCCTATGTTGAGAAAATGAAAAAATTGTGAAAATATGCAAATTTTGTTTAAAATATTTTAAAAAATCTACATTTTTTTACAGTCAGTGTATAAGGTACTAAAAAAAATTGCAGATATCTGCTTTTCTCATTCAACACCAATAACTCCTCTTCAAATCAAGGCCTCACTTGACCTAATTGAGCAAGCGGTTTGGAAAATATGAAGAAATACGTAAAATGACGTGAACATCGAAAAGTGTTGCGATATATGTTGAAATAAAAATTATCAACGGAAAAAAGAATTTGCGTTTTTTTTTTTTTCACTGTCAGTAGATACAAGTATTCAAAAATATTGCATTCATCTACTTCTCTCCATCAGCACCAATAACTCATCTTCAAAACATGACCTCAATTGACCTACCTGAGTAAGCGGTTTGGAAGCCTACTTCACCTTCAGCTACTCCTGCCCCCCCCCCAATCCCCACGTCATTACGGAGAGCCGCTTCCGAATGTTCTGTGGTACCAACAAACATCATCCTTCACATGTTTATCGCGTGATGGTGAACGGGATTGCTGGCGAAAATGCTGTTGTCGCCCTCGACTTTCACTTCTGCCCCGAATATGCGTTTGCATTTCCTCCAGTTTACATGTAAGGTGTTGAATTTGCTGTTTCAATTCATGTAAATCGCTGGATTTAGTTGACTCCTCTGTAATAGATAATAAATTAGAAGAAGATGGAGCAGTTGTAGAGACTTCCAGGATTCTACCTGCAAGTGTTGTCAAATTTTGCATGTCCAACTCATCTTTAGTTGATGCTAACACAAGTTGGACGCTGGAAGGAAGGCGACTCAAAAACAATTCCTTCATTATGGAGGGTTCAAGCTGTCGATCCCCTAGCAATTGCAGCATACGGCGATATAGCTGTGAAGGCTTGCGATCGCCTAACTCTTCCGCAGCGAGGAGTTGGCGAAGACGTTTTTGATCAGAATCTGATGTGCGTCGTATTAGCGCCTCTTTGAGGAGGGCATACCGATCACCGTCCGGTGGATTGAGCAGTAAGTCACGCACTTCCCGTGCAATCTCGGGCTGTAATGAGCCTACTAAATAGGCATATTTAGTAGCTTCGACTGTGATCCCCCTTGTGGTGAATTGTGCCTCCACCTGTGTAAACCACAAGGTGGGGTCATGTGCCCAGTAAGGAGGCAGTTTGAGGCTGACTGCAGAAGTTACTGTAGGTGCTACTACTGGTGGAGCAAGTGGTTGTGCAGGTGGTGCAACCAAAATATTGTCTTGAATCATCTTGAAGTCGGAGTCACCAATCCACCGTCCTGTACTTTGGTCAGAATCTTCTCCATCTGAATGTTCTATTACAGCATTTGGAGTGTCCCTTTTAGTTACAGAATGTGGTTGGTCTTGTTTTGTGGTGGTAATTATTGGTTTAGCATATGGGTTGCATCTTAATACCAGGGTCTGCTAGAGTGTCACTGAGGTCAGTCTAAAAACACAAAATGAAGTTTATGGATTTAATTATAATATTTTATCCATGTGTATCCATTAATATAGACCCAACACCCAAGTAATAGTGAAATAATATCACTAAACCTAGGTAAAAATATAAAGGTGGTCAGTCCGCGACCACCTTTTAGTCGCGGACTGACCATTTATGGATTATGAAATTAATAAGTAAATAATATTCTTTTTAAATAAAATTTCATCAGTACATTGAGGCTATGAATCTTTAATAGTTATGTGAATTTTATGTAATTTGGACAATATTTGACACAGAGAATTTAAAAAAAACTATGTTTTTTGGTCGCGGACTGACACAAACAAATGAAATTTAAGCCACACCCAAATGACTAATTAATTAACGAAACTCAATATTTCTTCACTAGTTATGAAATTTTTGTCTCTCATTCATTGTATCTATTGAAGAATAAAAAGCTTAAATTGTATATTTATTATGTAATTGGGAAAAGAAAATATTGCATTTTTGTCTATTTTTCAATTTTGAAAAATATGTTAATTAATGAGATCATATTTCAAGGGCAATCAATGGAAATGTAAAATGAACATAAAATCTTAAAAATTCAATGTCTTAGCTTTAATTTGATACCATACTTGATTGATAAAAAAACATTTTGAAATTTTGGTAGGTGTGAAAACTTTTCATGGAATTGCCCAGATAATAAAACACTTCCAGTGACTGGAAGTGTTTCTATCTTTTTTTCACTGTAAAGTGATGGTTTTTATGGGTAAGCACTTTTTAAATACACTAATTTCTATGTTCAAGTGATCATTTTTATGATTTTATTTTGTTTTTTACATCTTTAATTTCTACTAAAAAACAATTTCAATATGGAAGTGCTTTGGATACTATCAGTTTTAGAAGTTTGTTACACACTACAGTCAGTAGCACAAAATAAAATCACTTTTGAATGATAGAAAGACATTGATATAAAACAATATAGTAAATGATTAATTTTCTACAAAAAAACAATATTATGGAAGTGCTTTAAAACTAGTTTGTTATGAACTACATGTAGTAGCTCAAAATAATATCAGTTCAGTATACATGACATAGATACATCATTTGCATTGAATATTACCACATTGAAGCTATTTATGTACAGTACTTGCTGGTTTTAAGGCGCGGGTCACTTTTGTCTTTTGTGCCTTTCTGTTATTGACAGATTGCTCTCATTATATTGGGAAGAAGTCGTTGACTTCATCAGAGCCACAGTGAAAACATATCACATCTTTATGAATGGAATAGTAGGGATTTCAGTATGCTTGTATGATTAGTTCTGTGTTCATTTATTGGATACAAAATTCCTTCAAGTAGCGAAAATGAGCGTAGTTGGCATCTGGGGGATTTTTTCAAAACATTTATGCAGCAATCATAGGCTAGATCCTAGTGTCTAGGTCCCTTGTGTAAATGTACTTTACCCATGCACTACACAGTATATAAAAATTGTTAGGCTTCATATTGTATTGAATAAACTGTGAGCTTTAAAAAATAGTTAAATGTAAAATAGTAATATAGGCCAAATAATAAATATAATAAGTACAATGTGAACAATGACAATGTAGGCCTAGGTTTATGTAGTGTGTAGCTACAGTATAGGCTAGTACTAGTAGTAGTAGTGTACTTACCTCTTCGCGTTGCTTTCTAGCAATACGATTTTCGGACGAAACTCTCCTCTTCCTTTTACGAATCATTACGCTTTCCTCATTGCTACAAGAAGGCCTAGTCATGGTTGTGTTAAACGAAAACAATGTAGGCACAGCATCGTCAACCAACTGTCTTCGCCTAGAAGGTTTACCAGTTAGTTCCCCTATTAAATCTCTTTTAAAACAGCTAGGCTTAAAATGATCGGAGCACACGGCAACATGCTTAGATACAACGGGGTTATCCCGTCTCATGTTCACTAACCACTTCTTCAATAGAACAGGTCGGTTCAAGGGTAGCTTATGGAAGCTAACATTCTTCGTAGGATCCGACTTATTTTTGCAGCCAAATGCCGTACAAAACACCATTGTAACTGTGTAGCGAATACAATGTACTAATTATAAATTTTAATAACAAAAGAGTAATTATACAAACGATGAATAGAAATAGAATAGTACTGCACTTTATTCGGTTCAACAATAACAAGATCGATCGAGATGAGGCGCCAAGTTAGCTAGCACGCATGCTCATTATACTTTGTGTACATTCTGATATGACCGCAGGTCAGGTTATTAGCCAATCCGTGCAGCAGATTCGCTTAGCCAATAGAAGCGCTGAACACCACCGCGAATCTTGAAATCTTCATCGGCCGTATCTTACGTCACAATCAAGCGGTCTATAGGTCAAGATGGCGATTTTCAATCTTCTTAGAAAAAACGTTAAAATGCTGTTTACTGGAAACTCACAAATCTACTACAAATTTGAAGTACACTAAATAGTAAGTTTGTTGGACAACTTTCCAATGGTTGAATAGGGAATTTAGGGTGGTCTTTTCCTTTAAGATCGGTGTCTGTCCTGTTTAATCTGTGTCTGCACTGCCCTTCAACATTCATGTCGATCTTCCCACTTCCCAGTCCAACAGTGATTAGTTTTGGTAGGAACTTTGTATGCCCCTCACCAATGGATCTACTGATGATGAAAGATATCACAACAGTTTGTTGTTCGGGAAAATTTGTTTATTAGGCATTACCCTGTGGCTTTGTAGGCATTCTGTGCTCTTACCAAGAACTTGTTTTGAACATCCTTCTTCCCCTGAGCAAGGGTTGAAACTGTTCACATTGTTGAAATCCCAGAAATTGTTTATTCAGAATTTAAAGCAAAGTGTTGTATTAACAGATTTCTAAATAAACAGGCACTTAAAAAGTAGGCGTTTGTTTATTATGAACATTTACATTGTAGTGAAAAGGTGATTAATTTCAAGATTTTTTACAGTTGGTAGTGTGGATTGGAGCCCAGTTGTTTGATAACCTAGACCCAGGCCTATTTTGTTTTTGACGACAAATATGATAAAGAAACGAAGTGATGAGAAAATTTGTGTGAGCAAAGTGTAGCAATACAATAACAGTGCCAGACATCTATGAAAAGATAACAATAGCATAAAAATAATGGTGATTTCCTTAATACACTAATTGGTTTAGTAATAGTACCAACCACTTGATCCAGACAGTCAATATATGCAACACTCTTACTCGTCGCCAAAAGAGAATAGCTCTATTTGTTTTCCTCTGAAAATAGAGCTGGGTGTATATATGGGTAAATAGTTTCATCTGGTTTCCGATAATGCAATAAATAATTTCTTTAAACCAATGTTTACTTTCTGTCCAACAGCTAATTTAAGCCTATCTTGATTATTTAACACATTTCTTTTGACTTCATTATTCTATGGTATTACTGTCATGTTGGGGTCTATCTTGACTCTCAAATTATATTCAGTAGGCTTTATGCAGTTTCTTGTTATCCTTTATTGTACATCACCATCAATCAAATATTGAAGTGTGTTAGCTAAAGGATAGCCAGATCGAAGGTATCAACTATCACCCTTTTTTAGCACAATGTTGTTTGCACGCATTCCGTCGCTAGTTCCATAAAGTGTCGTTCAGGGTTGAAGTTTGTATCACATTTACAAGTGTAAGTTATCTATATGGAAATATGAGATGTAGCACCACAGTCGACAGTAAGTCCTTTGGGCTGAATAAGCCAGTTCACAGTTAGTTCATGGTGTGCATGACGCTATGCTATTTCGTGAACGAAAGCGCAGGTTATTGTACAAGCGAAAGAATTAAGCAGGGTGAAATGTATTGAATTTATAATCCGATGAAAATGAAAGAGAATCAAGCAATATCTATTGACGACATAAAGTCACTGCCAACACTTGCAGAAACTTTTGCATCACAAAGCGAATTAATTTATAATTCATAAATTTATAATTTTATTTCACTCAAAACGAAATGAGTCTGGTAGGCAAAAAAGGGAACATGTCCCTGTACAAGATGCCTACCAGAGAAACAATGATAAAGGCAAAGACAAAATAAAAAAAATAATAAATAAAATTTAAAAAAATAATACTAACAATTATAATAATAATAATAATAAAAATAGTAATAGTAATAATAAGAATAATATAAATAATAATAATAATATTAAAAATAATAATAATAATAATAATACAGATAAAAATAAATTAATAAATTAAAAAAAGTAATAATAAAGATAATAACAATAATAATGAACGAAGATCAAAATATTGCATTGAAGTGAATTCGGTTAATAATAATACAGATAAAAATAAATTAATAAATAATTTAAAAAAGTAATAATAAAGATAATAACAATAATAATGAACGAAGATCAAAATATTGCATTGAAGTGAATTCAGTTAGTTATTAATACGTGATTTGTATGGCTGGACTGTACAGTAGGAGTCACTGAGTCACAAAGGAATGGATTGAAGTCTTCCCGTAAGGTAATGAGGTTTAGTAATACTAAACCAGTAGTGTGCTGGAGATTGATGTTGTTCTCCCCAGGTTAAAAGTAACAATTACAATGGCCTGGTTACTAGCCAGACCGAGCACGCAATACTGGCACAAACCCCTCGGCAAGATTATACCAGTCAGCGTTTAAACTTTCCGGACAGCAGGTTGCTTGATCACCTGCCAACGCGTTACATTATGATGCAGTGTGCCTTAATTGGCACGCAACGAGGGGAACGAGCCCTGTACGTTTACACTATTGCTTGCGCAGGGGGGCTTATCGCGTACGAATCGCAAAAAAAGGATGGCTATATGATCCCTGCCAAGTTTAGTGGCCCCCTCACCTCACAACCATTCCGACATGGGTGTCCCTACCACACAACCGTCGGTATTGCATGTGTGGCTCAAGCAGGGCATGCAAGCTCTTCCACTAGGAACAAGGTATTGACAGGATAGGAAGAGATATTGGCAGGATAGGAAGGGATATTGGCAGGATAGGAAGAGATGTTGGCAGGATAGGAAGAGATATTGGCAGGATAGGAAGGGATATTGGCAGGATAGGAAGAGATTGGCAGGATAGGAAGAGATGTTGGCAGGATAGGAAGAGATGTTGGCAGGATAGGAAGAGAGTCATAGATAAACTGCCTGTCTACTTGGAAGATATGGTTATAGAAATTGAGAAAATAACACATGGCCAATCTAAAAATAATGCTTGGTTTGTACAACGCACAGGCGCTATTGCCCACACTTTGATGGCCAAGGAACGAACAAGAGTAATAGGCAACAAAGACATCAATTACAAACCACTAATAGAACAAATCATGGGACGAACACAAGTTGATCCATGCATACCAGCACTTAAATATGGGGAGAAATGGAAAGCGAAGCGATGAAAGGTTATGACTATGAGAAGATTAACAATGCTAAGCATTAGGAATTTAGTGTAGCAAACTGTGGTGCTAGTCCCGATGGATTAATCAATTGCCAGTGTTGTGGTGATAGACTATTAAAAATATAAAAAATGCCAATTAAGCATTTCCCATACCTCAACAGTGAAAATAAGTTGTTTCAAGTTTCACACCTCACATATACTACACTCAAATTCAGAATCGGCAGGGTGTCACAAACAGGGAAATGGTGTGACTTTTTATATACACCCGCCATGGCCATCTTACCATTCCTGTGGCCTTTGATGTAAGAAGGTGGGAGAAAATAAAGAAAGCAAGTAAATATTTATTTGTAAATAAGCTGGCAAATGAACTTGTAAGATAATTCTGTAAATACTTTTGTAAAATAATTCTGTAAATACAGTAGAACCCCTCATTTACGTACGGCACAGGCCCAGAGCCGTTCGTAAATGTGGGAATTCGTAAAAACGGAGTTGACTCAAATTCCTATATATTTGCACTGGTACTACTTACACTGGCATAAACTAGGCCTACAGTAGGCAACTTCTAAGCATTCTGATCCCACTCAAGGCCCTACACAAATTTGTTTTTATCGGACGTTTACCTACCTAGATTGTGGATTTTACTCCAACACAACTTCCATAGATACTTGTTAATTATATATACATTGATCGTTCAAGATTCCCTTGTGATATGGACATCGGATGCACTTCCACCCCAAGCCTTTGACAAAAACGAAATCATGTCATTTGGCGCAATTGCGACTAGGAATTTAACTGTGTTGTGCTTCTTCTTGTAATTGGACCATGTAGCTGCTTGGTTAAACAGATTCCGTGGTCGTTCAATAAAGACCTCTGTGCAGTCTAATTTGCACCTTAAATTTCTATATTTGTACTTAAGTGATTTTGGAATTGTTAGCGTTGCTGATTGTTTGTCGACCAAAAAACAAGACTTCCTAATTCTTTTGCTAAAAATTTTATCCATGTGTTAAAGACATGCGATGCTGTACCTGCTGATACACTAAAAAGACCCCAAGAAAGCTCAGTGTCAATGCCAACCTAGTTTTAAGGAGGACCAAAATAGCTGGCCCTGGTTTTATCAGTGTTTTTTTCCTTATTAATGATGACTTTGTGGATTTCTTTGCCCCGCACCAGTATGCCATTGCCTTACTCAACAGTCTTATCTGTTTTTAATACAGCCTTTGTCATATCAAAATGTGTTTTGATTGGTTTTTTTTTAGTTTTCTAATTTTTGATTTTAGTCTTTCAATTAATTTTCTATCAATTAACAATAATATTAATAATATTAATATTTCAGTGGCATTTTGGATTTGACTTAGGCAAGTTCAACTGTATTGCCTTTTTTTTTTCTTGGTATCATTTTCATTTCTTCGAATAAATGTATGCTCTTTCTAAACTGTATTATAGCGATTCTCAATAAGTTGTTGCTTGCACCACATCTAGCAAATAATCTGTTACAATATACCAAATTACTTTCAACACTGTAGAGGAGTAGCATCTAAGTTTGCCCTACTAGTTGTTGATGATTTACAGTTTGCCTTCTTTGATGCACGTACACACTCTCCTGCAACATGTAGAACAAGCATATTGTGTCCAAACTGTTCAACTGTAGGGTTATCATGACAGCGTC